TTGGGTTTGGGGGGGGGGGGGGGGGTCCAATGGGTTATGCTGCTACACTTGACCTTTTGAGATGCTGGAATAGAGCAGGACTGGATAAAGGAAGAGCTAACTCGTGGAATAAAAACCCTGCTTGCATTTGGCCGATGGTGTGGACGAAAAGAAATTCAAGACACATTCAATTCTACCCAGAAGATGAAACCCAGCAGCATTTTTTTGTTTTACATTGGCGAAAAAGAGAACTTCTAAATGATGTTGAATCTATTTTTAGATTTCATAGAGTTACTCCAGAATAGAAAAGGGATACGCTTTTTGGTTTTTTGCTACCTCTGTACAGCATTGCCAGCACATTCTTAGTGCTGAAGTTGTGAATAATAATACTTACCTTTTCAAAAAGAAGAATTACAATAATCAACCAAAGCAAGGATCAGATGAGAACGAAATTGCAATTACTGCATCATCAAAGGGAAGTTGTTGCTCAACAATTAAGTTCCAACAGCATAGATGAGGGTTCTACTCAAACAAAGTGCTAAGTCCCCGGTAATGCTACAAATGGGAAACTAGGGGTCTAAATGTTCAAACCATTTGTATACATGGCCACTCATTGATTACTCAAGAATGGAAGGTTTAAGGAAGATATGGGCCACGTAAACTCTCATCTTTGTATCCAAAAGAATATTGTCAAAGGGAAAGGCATAGGCACATAGCAAAGCAATAAGGTTTGCTAAGGCATTACGGGGTCGTTTGGTTCACAAACGGTGAAGAAATGGACCTTGGACCTAACAACAATAACCACCCAGTGAAATCACACTCAACACCTTGGGCCTAACTCAATCCAAAAAGTTTCTCATCAGGGATGATTGCCCAAGACCATTTAAGGAAACTATAACTCATTCCCTCAACCAATATGGACTTAACACTTCCCCACATCCATAATTACCAAATATAATTATAACGACATATTCCTAACAAATAATATTCGATTTTCCGCCCATATTTGTTGTTTAGAGGGAGTCCAAGAGGCTCAGCTTCAATGATGCCTTACGCAAGTCAGACGAAACCGCCAACATAAACCCATCCATCTTCAAGCCTTAAACGCAACTCTAACAACAAGAGTCCTACAGTTTCACAACCACAAAAGCACACTTCTCAGTCTACATGCACCTGTACCTTTGAATCTGCAATATGTAACTTCTATTTCATGTAAGGATGACTAAATAAGTACTTAAAAGCTCACCTTTAGCTTCTCCTTACAGATTCCCACCTTGGCATGTATATCTAGTGGGAGAACATCTTTTTTTGTTTTCTTTCCCCTTTTTCAGAATATAGTAAGAAATTTTTTGACAAAAATAATGTATCCAGAAGATGCATAAAGGGTGGAACTATACTCATCTTTACGCAAAAGTTCAATATCACGTTGACTAGAAAATGAAGCAGATTTATAAGTACATGTATTTCAGTCACTTAGCCAATGCAACGGGACTAACTACTTGGCTAACATAACAAATTTTAAAAAACTGGATTTGAGACTCATGGTAGCAGCCGATACAGTTGTTTTTGAAACTCGCATGACGAAAATAAAAGACGAGTTCTTGCTTTTTTTTTCTGTGAGATCAGAACGGAGTCAAAAGGACTCAATGATGCCAATCATGGTAATAATAAATGACTTTTCACCTTTCATAATTTCAGAAGCTAGTCCACCTAGAAAGTTCTAGAACCTAAAGAAAAGTCAGTAATTAATGGATTCTGTCCATCCTAATGTCTACAACTCATCACTTGTTCAACCCTTTCATTCTTATGGTAGGAGATGCTGTTTGTCACTGCAACATATTCATATTCATAAAACAACGACAATAATGTCTTAATCCCAGACTAGTTGAGTATGCCATAGAATCCCCCTATATCCCTTCCACTCCATTTGAACCTATTCCAGTAAATTCTTATTCATGCTATCATGAAAAATTAGCTGAAGTGGAGAACTACTACAAACTCCATCTTTTTACATGTTAAGAACCAATCAACAACAGCTAAAAGAAGCCATGAACATACTACCTTGCCATTAGACAGAGGGGATGCAGCATAAGTATTATGAGACTTCTTCAGATCTTCGGATGAGCAGTCGGAACAAACAAAGTCACCTATTTGTTTAGCTTGTTCACTAGTCAGGCCCACACAGGCTGGATGATACCTACAAAGATCAAGGGAACTGTAAGAAATGAAAGCATGAAATGCTTTTAAAACTGGAATTAGATGCCTGACTGCTTTTTTGGTTTAACCAATCAGATATATCATGAAACTATGAAAGTACAGTCCCGTCTTGAGAACAGTGGTATAACAGATTATATACAATGTGGAACTCATACTTGGACAGCACCTAGAAAAAATTCACTCAACCCCAGATTGTTGCTAGAAAATTGAGATGTGGAAGTCATTTATGTATGCACAAAATTACGCCCAATTCAAAACCTATAGATAGGCCTTCGCAGTTTTCATGGTGGAAACTAACAAATGACCAATCCGAACTAAGAGAACTCCTTATTCTTCTTTTTGGATAAGTTGCTATGGATGAATATCCCTTTACTTAATCGCTGTGCTTTACACAAAACAATCATAGTGCAAAGATCAGCCGCAACTTTCACCACACAGATATGCTCTTCATATATTGCACATAATGAATATAAAGGAAAAATAAGCAAGAAAAACTAAACATTCCTTGCAATAGCGCCCTTTTTAACATATTTAAAAAAAAGAAAGATTTAAAAATAATAGCATAACAGAAATCTCTAATAAGGCAGAGCAGAGGTAGCCCAACTGTCTAAGGTTCTTTCAGCTGCCATACACAGGCAACAAGAAAGAAGATCTCTACTCTTTCATGTTCCCTCTCCAGTTTATTTATGTGTTTTATCATTTGGTTTTCCAGCATTCAAGAGAAGAGGAAATCAATGTAAGTAATACATTACTGATAGTTGGAAATCAGTAAGATAAAATGGTGTGTGTATACCAGTCCTTGCACTCCTCACATTGTACCATTAAATCATCTGGGTTATATGGCATCTCGCATTTGCAATACCTTCAGAGCGAAAAAAGAAATATGAGTTAGAAGAATATTACTCAAGTTCAATCAGCAACAAATGGCACCTTCATACACTTACACTGCAACACGATCTGGCACAAAAGCTCCGGTTGCCGCTTTATACTCAAACCGGCAGTAGTAATCCTCCGGACCAACATTCTCAAGCTTAGTATAGTTCTTGAAAGAGTGAACAATGCACTTCCCATCTATAGTGTGGGCACTTTGGACATCGTAGTGGTCAGACAGGAATAATTCCTTTGCTCCATGAAACTGTCTCCGCCCTCCCAGTGACTCCTCTGGCCGGTAATACCATCTAACATGCACCTTTATATTGTTGCGGTTATCAGCTTCAATTTTTTCTACACGTGCCACATATGGAGCCGTATCGCCTTCTGATGGTCGCATCAACACACAGTCTCCAGCTTCACAGTCATAGCAATCAAAACCAAATTCAGTTATGCAATTCACAGATAGATCACAACTACATGATAAGGATGAAATTCCATTTCTAAAATCCCCAGCAACATCAACATTGTTAAGCAGCTAGTGCAGATCTTAAGTACTAAAGAGAAGTACAAAATGAACACTCATTCGAGTGGTTCCACTGTTAGGAATGAGTGCAGAGGCATTGCCTGCATAAAACAGTGGGATACTCCTGTCAACGTACATAAGAAAACATAACTAGCATCTTTACCATTATCAAACTCCTTAATAATCTCATCCTCTCTCATGGCCATAAAATTCTGCTGAATGCTCTCCAAATGGCATATAACATGTCCCATGTGTATGCATAAACACGTTTCTCTGCCTGTCTACAAACTTACTAAAGCACAACAGATTCTTTCTTTTCCATAGCACGGCCTTTTTCCTTTTCAATGGTGCCAAAAGAGAAATCAGAACCAATAATCCATCTAGTTCCAGGAAATTCAATCATAATTGCTTATATGAATGAGTATATTTAGGCGCTTGTAGGAAAACAGACAAATATTAAGGAGAATAACTCACTAATATCCACAAAAATGGGGTAATAATCATCATCCCTATCAAGCCATTTACAAGGAAAAACAGATACAGCAGTTGAATGCACATGGTATAAAGGAAGAAAAGATTAAAAGTACCACAGTGTGAACCCAAATTAGGGCCATATCTGAATATTTACAGAATACACAAAAATGCCAGCAGCAAACCATAAGAAAGGAACAACCTTTCTTCTAATCCACTATCTATAATTCCATATGAGCATAGACACAAGCAAAAACAAATGCAGACACAATTTCAAACACGCAAATAGGTAGGTATACACATGCATGCCTCACAAAGAGCCCTATTCTTCTTCTTCAAAACCTAAAGCAAGCACTTAATCGCCAAAGAAAATCAGAACAAAACTCAAATTCCACGTTCAAATAGCGGCTAAAAACCCCTAGAGCGAGCCCACCTATCCCACATGTACTAGTGGGTTGCAGCAGGATAGTCGAGGTACACATTTTAGAGAGAAATAAATGTAAGAAAAATCAATGCAGATGGAATTTTGTGAAAAAAGGAATGTGGATGTAGATACCTCTGACAATTTTGTTGGTGCGTCTAATGGTGTAAGAGTCCAAGTCACGTTTTCCAGGTCGAGTCTTGGCCATGGAAAATAGAGAGAGGTGAATTTGGTTTTTGCAGAGAGATTTTGTGGGAATAAAATGTAATACTCCTACAAGATTCAAAGGGGAAGACGAAAATCTAGGTGCATTCTTCGTAGCTTCTCGAAGATGGATGGGTTCATTTGATTCTCCTGAAAATGAAGGGTTTCTTTATAAGCCCTAGATTTTTTTTATTCTTTTTTTAGGACACTAAATACAAAGTAGGAGCTCTTTTTCTTTTTTCTTTTTCTTTTTTTTTT